AAAAATGAGGATGGGTGTGGCAGAAACCAGTGGCTGTTGGCATTTGAGACTGGGAGAGATTGATCATAGCCTTACTCTACTGACAGAAAATCCTTGGCAAGGTGTTTGGATATAAGAGGCATTGAGTTCTCTGTGGAGAAAAATGGGTTAAACAGTTATAAGTAGATAATGTGCATAACTTCATATACTGAATACGTGGTATCATATATCACATCATATATATCTGTCTTCATAGGATCCAAGACTGAGGTTTCAGTATCTTATTTCTTTTTTCCTATGCTCAAAACAGAATGAAACAAGAAAAGACACAAATTTGATATGACAGCATTGCTGAGGAATCTATGTAGCCTCTCTCTGTTTTTAAAATTGGTATCCTTCACCCCATCCGGTTAGTTTTTAATAAAGACAAGGAAAGAGAGAGAGTCTCCAGGAAGCAGGGATGGAAGTGAAATGATTAAAATGAATTTCCTGATTAAAGCTGATTTAGCATTTGTTCCATCATATTATGCTATTTTATTTGGCATACTTATATTCTTCTTTCTTCTTATTTCTTGTCACAAGATACATCACTAAATGATGTTAAGTGCTTATGCATAAAAGGTCTTCTCTGGCAGGCTTTATTCTGGTCACAGATCTTCTAGGTTTGTAGCACATTGAGCACCTACATAAGGGAGCTTAATTTGGTCAAGTTTACCTATTGAACACTGAGAACAGCTGGTTGCCACAAATTGATCTCATGGGTTTAATAGGAAAGGAAGTGGAACAAGAGTACTATCCAGAGTATTATTTCCAAATGTTTCCTAGAGACAACTTGAAAACAGCTGATGACATCCACTTGTTCTATTTGTGCTTTAATTTGCATCTTTGGCTCAGTGTCATGCAGGTTGCTACTGCTAGCCAAACATGTTTGGTTGAGTGAATGTTTTTTTTTAAAGTATTAATTGGTTTTTTCATAGAATTCAATAGTAAATAATAATGATGATGATGATGATGATGATGATGATGATGATGATGGAAAGGATCTTGGAGGTTATCTAGTCCAACCCCCTGCTCAGGCAGGAAACCCTATACCAGGGGTAGGCAACCTTGGCTCTTTTATGACTCGTGGACTTCAACTCCCAGAATTCCTGAGCCAGCCATGCTGGCTGAGGAATTCTGGGAGTTGAAGTCCACGAGTCATAAAAGAGCCAAGGTTGCCTACCCCTGCCCTATACCATTTCAGATAAATGGCTGTCCAGTCTCTTCTTTAAAACTTCTAGTGTTGGAGCATTCACCACTTCTGGAGACAGTTTGTTCCACTGGTTAATTGTTCTAACTGTCAGGAAGTTTCTCCTTGTTCAACAAACGTGTTGTCTGAGTTTATCATTCACTAATACAGGTTTAATTCCTAATCCTTTATTCTTTTCTCCAGCCATTGATAAAATAAGTCCCAAGTTTGATAGTATTCTGTTTCTTCTTTTTCTTTCAACCTCAGAGTAAGTCTGTCCATTTCCGCACAATCTAGTATTTTTTTAATTATTTCTTCCTTTGGTGATATTGCTTCATTTTCCCAATATTGTGCGAATATGATTCTTGCCACTTTTATCACATATAAAATCAAGTATATACTTTGTTTATCACTTTTTTCTGGCATTATACCTAATTAAAAAAGTTCAGGTTTAAAATCTACATGTTTTCCCAACATCTTTTTTAGCCAAGTATGTATTTTTGTCCAATATCTCTTTGCTTTAACGCATGTCCACCATACATGAAAATAAGTACCTGATTTGCATTTACATTTCCAACATCTCTCTGACATATTTTTCAACATTTTTGCTAATCTTGCTGATGGAAAGTGCCATCTATGAAACGTTTTATATAGGTTTTCTTTGTAAGAGATTGATATTGTCAATTTATAATTTCTTTCCCACAGGTTTTGCCATTTCTCTAAATTTATATTATATCCAAAATTCTTTACCCATGTTATCATTGTTTCTTTTATTTGTTCATTTTCCATTTTTAAATTCAATAAAAAGTTATACATTTTCTTAATTAATTTCTCATCAGAGGTTAATAATGTCTGATCAAACAAGGTCTGCTCTTTATAAAATCCGTACAATTTAACATCTTTATTGTATCTCACTTGCATTTGTAAATATGCCCACCATGATAGATCAATACCCTGATTTTCCATATCTTGTTTAGATTTTAAATTCCCTTCAGAATTTAGAATACCTTTATGTGTCCATATTTTCTCGACACTGACTAAATTTGGATGTACAAATGCTTCCATTGTTGAAAGCCATCCTGGAATTTTCAAGCATATTTTACATTTTATTTTTTCCCATGTTAGTAATGCATTTGTAATATAGTGGTTTTGAAAATATTTATAAATTTTATTTTCCCCATACCATAGGAACGCATGCCAACCAAGTTGTAAATCATGTCCCTCCATTTGTCTGAAATGGTATAGGGTTTTCTGCCTGAGCAGAGGGTTAGACTAGATGACCTCCAAGGTCCCTTCCAACTTTATTATTATTATTATTATTATTATTATTATTATTATTATTATTATTATTATTATTATTATTATTAATAATAATAATACAATCTTTTGTTTTCTTTTAGTATTGTTGTAGTATCTCTTTTCACCACTAGATATCCTTATTTACTGTATTGTCTATATCAGTGGTGGCGAACCTATGGCACGCATGCCAGAGACAGTACTCAGAGCCCTCTCTGTAGGCACACATGCCGTTGCCCAAGCCTCGCCTCCCCCCATGACCCCCTCCTCACCAGCAGCCCCCCTGGAGGAGAATCACCCCCGAGCGTGGCCCACGCAGAGCAGTGCAGCCAAGGACATGGCAGCCAGGCAGCGTAGACAAGACTTTGCCCTCACACCCCATCGCGCAGTTGATGCTGCGGGGCGCAGGCAGAGGGTGTGGCCACCATGGCGCTGCTGGGCTGCCTGGGCAATCTGCAGTGGGCCCTGGAGGTGGTAAGTGGCTCTGCAGGCAGGCGGGATAGGGACGGGGTGGGGGCGGGGCGGTGGGGCAGGGAGTGGAGCAGGGGCGGGGCCAGCTTTTGGGCACTCGGTCTCTAAAAGGTTCACCATCAATGGTCTATATCCAGGTTTTAAAAAGTTCTTTTTAAGTTGCTTTCTCACAGAAATTAGATAAGAATTTTTTTCCCACGCTGTAAGAGTTAACCAAATTTTCTTTAAATCAGTCCATTTTTGTATATTCTTTTGTATTCCTTAATTTGGTTCCCCCATTTAAGATTTTTCACCGTTTTTAACTCCCTTCTTCCCAAATTTTCCTAGGATCTTTGCTTTAGAAATTTTTTCCAATCAGGGGATTTCTATTTCCAAGTTCACAGGGAAAAGGAATAAAAAGAAACAATCTCACTCAGTTCTCACACATTGTTGACAATTAGCTCTTTGCTCCCCCCCCCATTGTCTATGACTTGGGCTGCCTGCACCTTTACAGGCAGCCTTTCCTCCGTCGGTTTGAAGAGTTTCCTTGGTTTGTTTGGGCCGATTGCCGTCGGCTCCAAGCTCCCAAGACTTCCCTTCTTCTTTGTCACCTCTCCAGGGCAACTTTCCAACCTCTTGGGGTCTCCAGACAGAGAGAAATCAGGCTAGGAAGCCGGAGCTCCGGTTATTTTCGCCCGTCTCGTCATGACACCAAACCTGAAGCCTGGTCAAATGAATGGTTTACTTTGCTTTGAATTAGGGCTTTGGAAAATGTGTGTTTTGTTTTGCATACAAAACAAAAGCATTATTTTCCAGAAGTTCAACCAAACTATTCTGGACAAGTTATTGCTTAGCTGGGTCAAAACTCAGAATATTTTGGTTTCAGGTTTCAACTAAGGTGCAAACCTCAAGGGTCTTACAAGATAAGTTGAATGGGCAAGGCTTTTTTTTTGCCCTTTCTTCATCTTTCTTCTTATCAGTCTCTTCCTGTTGGTCACTATACCTTTCTTCTCTTTACCTCACTAGCTATTGCTAATAGCCTTATCCTTTCCACCCTGTTTCCTATCTGTTGTGGTTCCATCCTGTGAGCCCATCTTATCGGAGGAAGAAGGCTCCGAACATGAAGGAGAGGAGATGACCAGGCCTCTCTCTCCAGGACCCTCCTCTCTGGCAATGCCTCAGGTGTCTCCCGACGGAGAAGAGATTGGCCAGGAGCCAGGTGTTTCCGAGCCGTCGGATAGTGATGAAGATACGTTGTGGCTGGACCCACGCCAGCGTAGGCGAGACAAGCGTGCGCAGCAGAAAAGGAGGCGTGCCAGAGATTAAGCTGAGTCACTGGACCCCACCCCACAGGCTATAAAAGAGAGTGTGGTGGCCATTTGGACTCTGTGACGGACAAAGCTAAATCTCTGGCGAATCACTTTGCACCTTTGGACACAACGCCTATTTGCTGTGGATTTAATTACAAACTGGACTATTAAAACTGTGTGTATTTTTGTCTGTGTTATCGGAGTAAAAAGTTCTTGGCAGGCAGCTATGGAGTTGCTGCCAAGTTCCTTATCAGTGGCGTGGAGTGTTTG